ATTCGCTTTCACAGTCGAACAAATCCAAGTCCACCGGAACTTCCACCAACGCTACTTCTACCAAATCGCCTTACTCGGGCTTCAAGCCTTCCGCAAATGATAAATCTACTACTTCGGAGAATTCTCCATCGTCTTCCTCCGACTCGCACCAGAGCCAGATGCTGTCGTCAAACGGGACGTCCCCAGAACCAAGTATGAACTCTTCTCCAAATGGGCAGTACCGCGAGCTAGGGCCAGGGGATTCTTGCGGCGGACATGTCACCACCGATGGAGAGAAATCCTTCTGTGAACAACTTGGTATGGCTTGTGGCAACATCAGAAATCCCATCCCAGCGGTCCGGGATAGCAGGTCCAAATCTCAGAGTGTTTCAAGCGGCCAACCAACCCCAATCGATGGTCCAGCCGGGGGCGAAGGCTCTCAGGATCTTGGAATTGATTGGCTGGCTCATCAAAATGGCGGGCAGTTCGATCCAGTGCTCTTTGGCGATTGGCGAGAGCCCCAGGATGCTGTTCTCTCTCAGGATTTCGGCTCTTTCTTCAATGAAGCATTCCCCCTGCCGGACTTGGGTAGTCCCTCCCACAATTTGTCCGAGGTCGCCACTGACGCGGCCGCACCCAAGAAGAACCTCATTTCTCAGATTGATAACAAGCTCGAGGAAGATGAGGTCGTTCCAGGCGAAGACCAGTCGCAGATGCTGTCATGCACGAAGATCTGGTACGTGCATTCTCATATAAGTATTCACCAGTTTATCTTCTTCCAGATGACTGACTTCATTTTTTCTCTAGGGATCGTCTTCAATCTATGGAAAGATTCCGCAACGGCGAGATCGATGTTGACAATCTCTGCTCCGAGCTTCGTACCAAGGCACGATGTTCCGAGGGTGGTGTAGTCGTGAACCAGAATGATGTTGATGACATTATGGGACGAGTTAAGTAGCGGCTTGCTTCCAGGAAGCTCACCGTCACTGCCGCCCTTAACACAACTCATACTCGGGCTTAATTCACGATTCACGGACCAACACCAACTCATTGATACTTGCGCTCTTTTGATTTATACGCATACCCATCGTCGATTGTCATTTAGGGGAGGAATCCTGCCCGGCGTCATGAATACAACACAGGATAAAGAGGAAAAACTCATAGGAGAGGAGAAATAACATCCTATTTACGGGATATTTGATTTTGAAAGCGAATTTTTTTTGTCGATGCCCATAGCTGGCAATCTATCAGTGTCCCTTCTCAAGGGGACACCACATTCCTTTTTTTTCCCTCTGCTCTCTTTGCAACAGTAATTGTCATTTGATTTGTTTTATGCTTGTTCTGATTGACAACATTGAGCTATGGGAGACACCGTCTCTGGCCATGAGATTTCAGCAAAAATGGAATGGCACTTCAAATGCCTATTGTACGGAAAGGGAATATGGCGAAATTGATATACTACTTTCTTTTGCAGCTGGGACAGAATAGCCCTGCTTTGCGATGTTCAATGTACTTTTCTTTTTTTGTACACAATCTATTCAATGGATCTCATCTCTACTCGCAATTGACTCAGTTCTACTAACCCAGCTAGATTAAGCATACGGTAATAGGAAGACTTGTAGGTACGCAAGAATGAGTACGAAGTAGCAATCTCGTAGATCTACAAACTCCAGAAGAAGGAAAGCTGTAAGGGTATCGATGTGGTCCACGGACGTAAAAAATAAAGTACAAAGAGAAAAGAGGTGAAAGGGTGTATTCTTTTTTTTTTTTTTCTTTTCTGATGATGTTTTCTCCATCCATTCCTCCCTCTGCAAACAAAAAAAGAAACTGTCTGGAGCTCACCGAAGGACTCTCACTTCGGAGTCCAGATCAACGCTGCAATTAGCGTCCATGTCCTGTGTCCCTGACCGGACCTGGGAACAAAGAACATAAAAGATTGAGCGCTATCAGAGTCAAATAAGGGAAAAAGAAGATTTGCAAATGGGACGAGATAAAAAAAGACACAAAAGAATTAGAGTATCAGGTGTGTAAGATCGAGGCAATGTCAAGGGCCGGGGGAAAAATATGAGACATAGAAATTTGTATGTCACCGATCAGGCATCGCCGGATGCGACAGGCTTGTCGCCTGAGGGGGTAGGAGAGTCATTAGGGCCGCTCTTGAAGCCACCCCGACCTCCTCCACGACCACCACGGCCTCGCTCGCCAGTGCCACGGCCGCCGCGGCCACGGCCACCGAATCCACCACGACGACTGCCATCGCTGTCACTGGCGCTCTGGTACCCACGCGGGGCGGTAGTGATGCCACCCCGGGTGCTGGACTGCCAAGTTCCGGCATTGCCGACAGCAGCACGGGTGCTGCGGTCCTCGAAGAACTTGAAGTTGGGCTTACGTGGCTGACCATGGGGAGTGGAACCGGGCTTCTTTAGCTCAATAGGCAAGTGGTCCAGAGCCGCCTTGGCCTCTTCGACGCCCGAGAATGTCACAACGTGGTTATACTTGCCGAGCTTTTCGATCTTGGTGATCTTCGATCTGTCCTCCTCAGAGATGAGGTCACGGACGGCCTGTTCGCTTTCGGCGCTTGTTACGAAAAGAGCATTTGCGGGCTTCTTTTCGGCACGTGGTGCAGGTGATTCACTTAGCTTTTCGTGCGGGGCAATACCGTTAGTCTCGGCAGCTGCGGTCTTCTCCTCCCCGGTGGGCTGAGCAGAGGCGGCAACAGGTGGCTGGGGGGTAATGGACTTGGGAATCACGGGAACAGGGGAGGCTCTCGGTCCCTTCTGGCCCTGAGGAATGGGTGCACGCGCAGGAGGGGCTTGGCCGAACTGGGGAGCCACGACGGGGGTCCGGGCTGCGCCTGTCGGGGCGGGTGAGGCAGTGGTCGCTGGGTGACCAGTAGAGACAGGTTGAGGGGCACCACCTGCCTGGGGTTTGCCAGTGCGGTGGGCGAAGTTGAATCCTTGAGCCCGCATCTCTGTCGCGATGCGTCCACCTTCAACCTCCAATACGAGATATCCGAACGCCGCATCGGCCAAGTTGAAGTTCCACATATTCTTGAATGCACTCTCGTCGACTTGTCCAGCAGCATTACCAGCGGCAACGGGGCCACCGAATGGATTACCGCCGTTGGCAATGGAAGGCATCTTGTGAACAACATCCAGGGCATTCTCTAGGAGAGTCTTCTGTCCATCATTAGAGGAGATAGCTGCCTCGACCTCGATCCGGACCGTCTCCCAGACATCGTTGAATGACGCCTTAGAGGCAGCAAGCTTGCCACGATAATGATCCAAAGACGGGTTCACGGAGAACTCATTGTACGAGGAACCGTAGCGGAAATGAAGACCAGCGGAAATTGAAAAATCGGCCTTGAGGGTGACGGAAAGCTGGTTCAGCATGCCCTCGCGGGCAGGAGAAGCGTGAGTGACAAAGATACGAGTCTCGGAGGGGTCGTAGACACGATTGGCGGTGTCGATGAGTTCGCCCATCTGCAGAAGTGTCGTCCACATGGTACCTTGGCCGCCGGCAATAGTCGTCTTTCCTTCACCATTGTCGAAAAGCTTATGCATCACGACAGCACCTCCCAGACCCAGCAGACGGAGCTTCACACCGCCGATATCGAGAAGGCGCGAGTTGGCCTCGTCGATAATGTGTAGCTTATCTACCTTGTATTCACCCGAGCGGAACTTCTCCAGCACGCGCACATCTTCGCAGGCACCCCAAACTGTGTAAACCGGCACATCAAGGGTGATGCGTTTGTCCAGTAGCATAGAGAGCTCAGAGAGGGGCAATTGCTCGGGCGGGAAGCGCTGCTTAATCGACTGCTGAGGAGATACCTGTGCGATGGACCGTTTCACGTTCTCGGGGAGGAGGGGGGAATATTGTGCCACATGCTTCAATGTCCTGTTCGTAGATTCGGGTTAGCTGATGCTGTCCAGTAGATTTCGGTGCCTGGCGAGGCGAATGTGTTGGGCAGCAAACACGCGCCGAAAAGCTTCAGAAGAATACTCACTTGTCTGCAATTCGCTCGAGCGAGGTGTCATCGTAGAAACCAAAGTCACCGGTGTGAATGATGTGGTCGGCGCGGGCCTGCTTCGCAAGCTCGTTAAGAGACTTCAAGTTGCCTGTTTTACGCGTCCAATTAATATTGTGTCACTTTGCCAAGAAAGACATTGCCACAACGTAGTTACCTCGCACGTCTGCAATGCACAAGATTCGTGTCGGACCACTCTGAATCACACGGCCATTGTTGGGGAGAAGCGGCGTGGCACCGGGGACAGGGCCCGCAGCCGCACCATTCGAAATAGGGTAGCCTTGAGCACCGAAGTTGGGGCGGGGCTATAAGTGAAAAAGAAGTGATGATATTAGCCAAGCTCTCCAAAATCTCAAGATATGACATTCGTCGCGATTAGAAGCTGGGGTGCGCAAATGCGAGGGGACGTAAGGTTAGGGAGCCACCTACAGAAGCCATGGGGGTGTTGAATTAGATCGATGTGAATGGTAGGATGTGAAGTGTAGGGTGAAGATGATGGAGGGGAGAAAGAAGAGAAACGAAAGAGGGAAAAGGATGAAGGTGGTGTCGAGGGGAAAAAGATGTCGAAGATTCACTTTCTCATCGATGAAGCAGCAGGCGTGACATGAAGATTAGGTAAGCCGCCCCTGGGTGGACCTCTACAAACAACACTCTTTATATGTCCATGCATGGGGCCTTTGAACTGATTAAGTTGATTAAATGGATTATATTGACTGGTTTGACTGATTTGACTACATTGTATTACTCTTGGCTGTTCCTAGGATGTGGTATTTTTGTGTTTTTTCCACATTGGGCCGAGATATTATCATATAACATGATCTCGTCCTGAGCTCGTGAAGTCTAACATTGGTGAGACAGTCTCTCCTCGCCCGATCATCCGGGGTGAGTACTCTATGTAAGCTGTGAGAGATAGACTGAAGGACCCTAAATCCCATCCCAAGATGTCTCTTGACTATCAGGTATCAGGTATGTAGGTCACGACAATCCATGTGTATCAAAGTTCTTCGATATGATTCCCAAACAGGTATTGCTGCCTATCTACCATCTCTCCCACTGGCTCCAACACTGCTCCACGTCGACATGATAAAGATTGAATGGATCGAGGGCCTTTCAGTGCTAACAACGCAAAATGTCCCCCAACAGTCGGACGGGCCCTACACAAAATAGGAACTCCTGGCTCATTTCCGTGCGCAGAGGTTGCAACATACCGATCAGAGAAAGGCCAATTGTGTTTTCCATTGGTCATGAACGACCATAAGTCATCGACGAACTCGTCCCTGGCGCTCGTTTCAAAGGTACCAGCCAGCCACATATTCCAATCCGATTTGGCCCAGTCTTGGCGATTATCGAGAGGGACACCATATTCACCGCGAACAGATATGAAAAAGTTACTTCCCATTTGATAGGCAGCGCCGGGAAATGTATTCAGGCCCAGCAATACATCAGGGAAGAGATTATATGGGGTCTTCCAAGTACCTGGCCAGTCAGGATATTCCAAAACAAAATGTGTCTGGTCTTTGTCTGTTCCTAAGCCTTGCTGGAAGAAGATATTGGCATGCTGATCACCAGCACGGGAGTAAACCCCATCTCCACTCATCTCCCCAAACGCCTTGAGGCCAACTGCAGCCTTAATTGCCAGATTTGTCTCGTTCGCGAGAGGTCCAGCTGCGTCATTTGACGACAACTGATTGGCAATATTAATACTATTTTCCAGCAAGTAATTTGCATACTTCTGGAAAACCTCCATGTAATGCGCAGTCCAGTCGGTATCGCCAGTGGCTCGAACATACGCAGCAGCTAAAATAAGCAGATTTCCGCATTCCTCGATTGGCATCGGCTCTGCTTTCTGGTCATCATGACCAATAGCATGGGGATAATGAGTGCCAAGGTCATGAATCGTGTATGGCAAATGCCAGCGACCAGCAGCAAGGTACTTCATAATGGGCTCCAGCAATAGTCGGATGTAGTCCGGATCCATGACGTAGTAAATCGGGAAGGCGGGCATGATAACGTCGATTGTGTTGGTATTTCCATTACTAGAAAGCTCCTTGATGAAAGCCAACACCTCACCGGTGTCGAGAGAGTCATTGGGAATTACCAAGTCGATGCCTCCGTATGCTTGCCGGGTCGAAAGAGCTAGGATATCTGCATACTTGGGACCCGCAGCGGCAGAAGATAAGGCGACCAGCTCCCGATCCAGTTTCAATGACTCTAGCAATGCGTTGCTATAGTCATCCAAGAAGAATGAGAGGGCGCTCGATGTGGTGGGGTACTCTGCACGATAGAAACCAGTGTATGCTTCTCCAAGATAGTTGATGGCGGCTTCTCTTTCGTACCCGACCACGAAGTTCACAGAATGCCCACCAGTGACGTTACCAAGATTGTGAGCCAGTGCGACAACACTTCCCTCAGCCCAGGTATCGTCCACACCAGATAGTTCACCATCCTCACCAAATAGCCTTCGTACATCCTCGGGACTTCCCGAGAGAGCGGTTAACTGACTCAAGCTAGATGATCGAGAGGCGAGAATTGCTGAGCCCCAAAGAGCCATGTCGTCTGCCTCGGCATACAGCGGTGCGTCTTCGACCGTGAGCGAGTAAATGGCTAGGCCGTCTTGCTCTTCGAAGTCGCGCTGTGAGTGGCTTTCTCGCCCAGTCCACCTGGCATCGATATCCGAATAAATTTGGATCTCATAGCCGCGCGATTCAGCTACCTGTACTGTTAAATAACCTATTATCCCAGTCAGTTCAAAATATCCACAATCTACCATATTGCACATCACCCACTAAAAGGAAGCGACTGCCGAACATAGTTTGACGGTGACACAGGCGACAAGAAATCCAGCTTGAATGCCACGGGTCCAGCCGTGAGATCAAATATCGAATGCGTAGCGGTAAATTCAGCGCGATGCACCGTCGCAGGGCGGATATTGCTTACGTCCATGTCTGGAACGCCCATCAGACTATATGCCTGGCCATTCACACGGACAATTACAGACCAGCCGAGCTCTTGGCCAGCCCAGAACTGAGGTTCAGCATAGGGCAACTGCTGTACTCGGTCGCTGGGCATCCATGCCGATAGATACGGGTTGCGGACTGCTAGCGGGTAGGACGGTGGGAGGACAGGGTGATGCGTTACAGAACTCGATTCCTGGCCCGAGTAGAGAGAGAGCATCGATGCATAGAGGGGGCCTAAGCCCAGTGAGCTTAGACTAAATCGCATGTTGAAATTGGTGCATGTGTCGGAGGTTGAAGAGTGTGACCAAACGAGCCGGGCGCATATATTATGGATGGCAATATCCAGTGGATATATCCGAGCAATATCCACGGCCTAGATGAAAGTATATTGAAGTCAGAAACTGAACTACAGAATTCCTTGTCGATCTTCCTGCGTCATATTGGAGGGGCCCCCACAGTACTTACGCGTTCGCAACTATCTACAGCTTCCCAATTCGCCGCCCACTTTCATCGAAATGAATATGCTTTCCAGACACGAGCGCATCCTAGAGGTAATGATCAATCCCAACGGTCTTCACAACATTGGTTAGCTTCATAAAAACCGGCGTGTTCCCTAAGCAATTATCTTCCTCGAAGGTAGGGCTGGACCGACCTATGAGGAACTCGTCAAGTAATGCCACCGTTGTGGTATTAGCTGGTAAAGTTTCGCCGAGGGTTGTCATCCACTGTCAATTTGCCCTTAGTGCCTATTTCAGCGGTATCCTCCCCGGCAACCATCATGCGCTAGCAATACTAGGCAATCATGCCAACAAACACACCGTTGCACCAGGCTGTAGATTCGTCGTAGAAGCCGGCGAGATCGAACTTGCCACAACTCTAGCCGTGGATAACGGCAGGTCGTCCGATGAGATATTGCTCATCTTGGCCGGTACGAATCGGCAACGTCTAGACAAGTCGTACACCACCTTCAGATAGGGCTTCTTCTTAGCAGCCTAGACCACTGCTTTGCACTTTAAAAGATATTCATCAACATTTGTCGTAATTTCAAACAGGAAGAAAATACACGACTTGATGTCGGTAGACAGCGGCTTCTCCCGGAGAACGTGCAAGTCTTGCTCGAACTTGATTGTCCCCTCCGCGTGCACGTAGCCGTAGCAATCAACAGCCTGCAGATCGGGATGCTTGGGCATCTTATTGTGGGTGATGTACTGGGTCATACTGTAGGGCGCCAAGTTCAGTCCAACACCAAGGCTGAGAACACGGTATTTACCGCACGCCATAGTCTAGTGGCTTGTGAGTTGAGTTTGTTTTTCGCGAAGTATTGCACCGACTTGGCAGGGGGTATCATTCAGCATCCCCTCGACCAAAGGGCTGCGGAATCACCATTGCAATCCATGTATGCAAGGACCAGTTGGAATATGAACGCGGTCATCTAAAGATTGCACAGTGGCAAGAGGTTGACGAGAGTATGGATCAGGAGTGAAAAACAAAAGAGTAATTCAGGTCGATAAAGACCGATGACTCAGTAGAACGACCCGAACATGAAGGTGTCATGGAAAGTCCATGGAAAATTCTTCCCAAGTCTCCCAAACAGGTATGCCAAAGGGGTCTGGTCAAGGGGAAGATCTCAATCTCAGGGGGAGCATCGTACGTAGTCACACCCCACCCCTTTCTCCATTTTACATTATTTAAGTCACCGTTGCGCTTCGTTTTCTTTGATTAATTCCACATATACTACAACGTGCAGAACAAGAAGTACTTGATATCCTCTGTGATATCCTCTGCAAGACCCCGGCGTCCCCTACGTCCCGCCCCCGCAAAAACAACCTCGCGCTAGCGGAAGATCAGCATTGTCTCGGAGAAATTGCAAGCGACGCGCGTGACAGGCCATTTGTTTCGCCTCCGGTCTCACCTTCAAACATGAACACAATCCTCGCGTTCTTCCACGGGCTAGTCCCAAGATGTTTACGGAAATCCGATGTCACAAATTCCGACGCCTCGAGGAAACACTACTATATACCCGTCATGCAAAGCTCAAAGTCCCCCATGAGCGCAACCAAAGAGCACAAGATCATATCAATTCCGATTCCATGCGCATCCCCGCCTTCTTACAACGATGTAAGCGGCGCCGTTATCATAAACCAGGATGGCAAACCTCAGTTCCTATCACCACAGGAAGAGGTAGAGCGACAACACCGACTGCAGCAAGCAGTGCGCGAGAAGATGTTAGGGCTACCACGAACGACCAAGTTTGAATGGTATCACAGAACATCGGGAACTACAGGCCCTGTGAGCGAGGAACTACCACCACCGCTGTATACCCCCCGAGAAGATGAGAAGAAATGACGTCATACCAAGTGCTGGATATGCAGAGTATTGACAGAGCGTTGGATTTCCCTACTCGTGAGCAGGATACAGCCCGCAGTACACTTTATATAGACTGCAGGGGTCTTTGTATGATAATGCACCGAGGGTTCACCTTTTAATTTCATGGCCTTGGCTATTATTTATACAAGAATTGCATTCGTAGATGTATGCGAGGCTAGTTCCGGAACAGTCTCAAGCCACCTTCCTCCCGATCAACATCATCCTCTTCATCGCTAACATCTTCATCATCTTCACCGAGCAAGCCGCTGGCCGTTTTGCCGAGCAGAGAAGCAAAGAACTCATCTCGTGCGCGGGTAGACCAGGAACCACGGTCATCGGGGGCCATGAAGTTTTGGAGCTTTTCATGCACAGTGTACTTCATCTTGCGGCCCTTGGAAGCACGGGTATCAATATCTCGCTTCACCTTATCGTTGCGCATACCAGTAATGGGGTGAATAGGCAGGCGCGAGGGCAACTGGTGCAGGTTGTCAAAGCCACTGGTCATAGAATCGGCTGAGGACATGCGCTGTTCAACGAGATCGCGCAAAAGGGACTGGTAGAAAGCCCCATCATCGTAGAGAGGTTCTTGTTGATCAGATGTGCGCGAACGCTTCGAGGATCGTTCTCCAATCTCTGTGGCAACTTGAGCATCGAGAACGGCTGTGATGGTTTGTTGGCGACCGGAGGTAGAACCGAGCAGTTTGCCTCTAGCATTAGGAAGAGATGCAGAAGTGCCACGAACTTTCGAGGACCACTTGTCGAGAATGGAACGACGGTGCGAAATGGACTCAGACTCCAATTCAGCCATACGTTCCCATAGCGAGGTAGAGCTAGTGGTAGGCGAAGCAGGGGAGGGTCGCTTGCGCTTTTTGCTGCCTTCTTTGGCGGTAGCATCGGCCAGGGCAGTACGTAAACCTTCGAGGGTCGACCATAACGCCAGAGCAGCTGACTCTGCTGACTTGATTGCTTCCTCATCAACAACTTCTTCTTCTTCATTCATCTCATTCTCTCCATCTGCTTCGCTCTTTGAACCCAACACAGCAGCAATACCGTTGATAGAGGTCAATCCACTCTGAAGCTTCATCCGCGCGTTAAGGAGCGCATCAAAAGTGATACGTTGTTGCTTGACAGCCTTTCCCTTTGTAGCATCGGCCTTGGCTGCCGAGGAGATCGTGGCAGCGATAGTTTTCTGATCTGTTGCCATTAGTTTCCGAATCTCGTCGCGGTCAACAGACGGTCCGCTTGTGTCGCCATGTCGGACATCTTGGCGGGTTTTCTTGGAGTGCTTGTCGACTACCTCGTCGGCATCCTCACTTTCATCCTCATCATCCTCTTCGCTCTCTTCGTCATCGTCATCCTCGCCTCCCTCTGTGTCCTCATCGGAACTCTCCTGGGCCAGGGCATCGTCGCCGCTGGCAGATTCTTCGGAGCCAGACGAGACATCTGAGTTCTCGTCGCCTTCATCACTTTCGGCGCCTAGTGCCGCCCGGCTGACTCGGGCACCATCATATTGCTTCCCCAGTGGGAGGGGGTCATCTTTGCGGAGCTTTGCTTTCCTGTTTGATTATTAGCGCGTTGTTGATACCAAATACACATATTTTTACACACCCAACAGTTTCATAATGCTCTCTGCCTGTCGTCACTTCTTCTTTATCTTCACCTTCCTCGTCACTTGATTGCTGACCATTATCGATATCCTCGGGATCAAAATCTAAGGGCGAAGTAAGCATTGAATGACCGATACTCAAGAGGATCTGTTATGCATCATTCAGGCATACCTTTAGGAGTTGGATCTTCAAAATCAGCAAGCTGATCAGCCAGGGAACGACCTGCGCGTGGTTTACCCATGGTGTTTGGTATGAGGAGAGAATGAGAGATTGCCGAGCAACTTTTTTACTGGTTTTTCCGGATAACGGATTATTATTCCTATCTAGGTTTAGCGCCCGTAGGCGGTAGAGGTTCATGTGGGCGGTGTACAGCGTAAGAGCTTCAACTAAAGGCGGTCGGCCCTTTACTTGGCAGTATCGCAGTGGATATCTTGCACTACATATTCTGGAACTACTTCTGTTGCTCACAGATTATTAGGTCTTGCATTTTTTTCTTCTCATCTGCCTCATTTGGCCTGTGAGTATGTTGGTTCTGCCGTCTAGCTCCATCACTAGGGGTGCGAGGCTTTTTTCTACATATCGTGCTCTTCAGCATGACAATCCTTTGGTTAGTTGTTAATCTACATTTTAGAGCTCCGGTGGTTGTTTCTCGGCTCACTAATTGACTCTAAGAACCATTCTCATTTGTTACAATAGCTATTTTGATTTGCATTGACTGACTATGAACAGGGACTTCCACGCTCTGGTACCCCGCCAACTTTTCGTTCGCGCCGAGGGCTGCCTGAGAAGCGCAAGATTCGAGATGTTAACAAAATTGTTGCAGTCTCTTCAGCAAAGGGAGGAGTTGGAAAGTCTACAATAGCGGGTACGTAGATATTATCCCCCTATCTAGGCGCAAGTGTGAGCCCAAATCCAACAAACAGTGGCTAAAGAGATCTTATCAGTCAATCTCGCACTATCATTTGCACGCCGTGGTATCAGGACTGGAATTCTTGACACCGATATATTCGGTCCTTCTATCCCCACCCTCCTTAATCTCTCGGGCGAACCTCGCCTCGACGAAAGTGAGACTCCCTTTCTAAGCTTACCACCATTTCAGCCATAATCAACATGCTTATGAACATTGCCAGACAACTGCCTCGTTCCTCTAACGAACTATGGCCTTAAATCGATGTCAATGGGCTATCTCCTCCCCCAAACACAAGCCGACAGCACAAGTGGCGAGCTACCTATGGACACAACACCAATCTCATGGCGCGGGCTAATGGTAACCAAAGCCATGCAACAACTCCTTCACTCAGTGTCGTGGGGACCACTGGACGTTCTAATCCTCGACTTACCGCCGGGAACCGGCGACGTGCAGCTCACAATCAACCAAGAAATCATCATCGATGGGGCAGTGATCGTATCCACGCCGCAAGATATCGCACTCCGCGACGCAGTGCGCGGCATCGGGATGTTCCAGCGAATGGAAGTGCCCGTGCTCGGAATGGTGCGCAACATGGCATATTTCGCGTGTCCACGGTGCGGGACTCAGACCCGTATATTTTCGCATGGTGATAGCCACCACCACGCGCACGGTGAGAACCACGGCGTCGTGGCTGAGTGCAAGCGGCTCGGAGTGGACTTTCTCGGTGACATCCCTCTGGATGCTCGGGTGTGCGAGGATGCTGATCGTGGAATGCCGACTGTTGTTGCTGAGGAGAATGTTGAGCGCAGTGCGAGGCGGGAGGCTTTCCTTGGTGTTGCTGAGCAGGTAGCTCGGAAGATTGGTCTTGATTGGCACTGAAGGGTCGACTCATCTTGCCCAGACGTAGAGTTATGAACATTGTGTATTATTATATCAGACTCCCATATCCGGTGGCTGGCTACTGGCTATTTATCTCGGCATTCCGCTTATTTGGGTATAGACTGTATTTATTCTCAGAACTATGTACTTCCATCTACAAATGATGGTCGACTGCTAGAGGCCTAGTAGTTGACTGCAAAAAGGGTATATCCAACACAAGGAAAATAACAAAAGGAAATGCCAAGTCGCTGCATATAGTTTCAACAAAAGAGCCAGCAATCGAAGGAAACTTGGACATATTTGAAAACGACTGTTCAAGAGGATACGGATATGTTCGTAAAGCAATTCTACAAAGCTTACTCTGCGGTTTTGAAAACCTCCCTGTCCGGTATTTCAGGACGGTGGGACGTGGAGTCTCGACCAGCCGCGGAGAAAACAGATAGAGTATCTGTGGAAGGACGGCCATTCTCGCTAACCAAGGGGGCAATAATACCCCGCGCGCCAGTCACAGCTTGGGTGCTAGCAGTATCGGATGCCATTTTTGTATAGGCGACGGAGTCCTTGTCGCCGCCAACGGTACTGGAAGTCTCCGACAACATCTCGCTTCGGCCAGCGGCTGATCCTGCAGCGGATGATGACCGGTACCTGCTGTGAGCTAAGGAAAGATCGGATTTCATCGGGAGAGAGCCTGTTGCGTGAAAGAGAGCCCTCGTGCTGGCGTTCTCATCCGTGAATTTGTGATTGTTCACCCCGGGCAAGATAAGGATCGGGGCAGCACTTTTCTGTGAGATGGGTCGAGATGCGGCCTCGGAATCTGTAGACATGCGTCCAATAGAAGAATCGCCGTTACTGAGGCATTCGTTTTTATCCTGGTTGGCTGCCGTAGGCTGCGATTTGTTGTCGGTGAGGTCTTTATCTGTTCTGCTTTGGGGATTCGTCGCTGGAGTGCTAGACCATGCTCCAGCCTGCCCATTATCAGTGCTGACACGGGTGGCACGTCTGCCCGATTGCTCGATCCGATTCTCCATTTCCATTCTGCGCTCGTCATGCTTGCTTCCCCAGCCGCTCCACATCATCATGCCGTAGTTCTTCTTGGCATGTCGTTTTGGTAGGACGCCAGGAGCAGCTCGCCGGGCGGCCAAAGAGCTCGGGGGAGGACATTCGCCATCAAAGTCTTGGAAGCCATGCGCCAGCTCTATCAGGCGTCGCCTCTGAACCCGAAGTTTTTCCTTCGAAAATCTTATATCCCATTCCTTCTTTGCATCCAGCCACATTCGAATGAGCACGGGGTTGATTGCCCCGATTTGGGCAGGGGGGATTTGTAACGATGGGTAGGAAGAGGGAGTGTCTAGCGGGAAGACATGTCCTCGTTTATCAATTCGTTGGCGTATCATGTATTGATAGAACGCTGGAAGAGGATCTCCGGCCTTACCGACAGAGGAAGGCCCACGTGCGTTAGGCAGATTGGTCAATGCAGGTTGAGGCCCCGGCATATCTTCATCTTCTGAGCTATTTGACGAAACGGGCGAAAGAGCACTATCATCCATAATATCGACCTCGCCGTGCTGTGCACGCGCCAAGGCCCAAGAGCCGAACTGGGAAATGGAACGGAACATGTACTTGGCTGGTCGCGTAAAGCTCAGAGTGGGAGCGACATGACATAGGTCGTCCCAGACCTGAAGTTGTACATAAGTTGGTTCGTACTTGTTCAAAATCTCCCGGGTGGGATCATTCTCATCGAGATATACGTCGCTCGGTGGGTATGCCGATGGATTGGCCGCTTTGTGGGCGATGTAGAATTGCTCGTCACGAAGCGTTTCGCCGCCGCCGCTCAATATTTGCAGAGGAGGCAGGCCACCCAGAGAGGGTTGTAGGACTGGCGAAACAAGAGGGTGGGACATGAGCTGGTTCGTCGTGTAAAACTGGATTTGGTCCTTGAGTTCGACTGTTTTCCCGCCCAAGGCAACGTGAATATTATCGGGTTCGGCATCCAAACTAGCAGGATCCGGGGCTTGCTGCTCGCCAGGGTAGGAATATTCGGCTGCAGGGTTCTCATGGATAGTATAACCGCGGATAGCAGTCTCTTCAGCACTGCTGCGCGGTTGGGGAATAGCCTTATTGAGATCCTCGGAAGTCACTATTGGTTGGCGCGACAGTCTTTTCATTTCCAGGATATCATCAGCATTAGGAGGAGGCCAAGCGGACGAGGGTTTATGGCGGAAGCCATAGGCAGGAATATAATCACCTGGGTTGTCCTGAACAATACTCGGGAAAGAGTGTGTTAAATCAACCCAGGGTGAGATCAAGATGGCGCCCGCGGGTAAGGGAATACCCTGGTCTCTCATAACGACCAGCATCGATAGAGCCAAGCCTCCGCCCGCAGAGTCACCGGCAAGAATGATTTCCTTTGGTTCATAGGACTTGAGCAGCCAGAGATAAGCCGCCATGCAGTCATGCAAACCACATGGGAAAGGAAACTGCGGCGCCAGTCGATACTCCGGTGCAAATACACGTCCCTTCAGTTTACGCGCATGGCGCTGCATCATGTACCGATGCGTGTCGACACTTCCGAAGAAATAGGCCCCACCATGGATATATAGCATCACACGGTTACAATGCCCACCGGCCCCCTCCGTTTGAGCGTAGTGGCTCCGCATCTCAATCCACTCCCCCTTCATCTCTTCGGATGGCCCGCGCCATTGCCACCATTTCTCTCCTCCTACCCGTACGATACCCTTGGGGCCCAGCTGCTTTTTGACAGCGTCCGCAGCAGAGAGCAAGAACTCGTCCGGGATTGTGATGGTCTCGGTTCTCACCCAATGTGGACTTGGGACCCATTGGCGAGTGAACGCCTGGAAGTCTTCGACTGGGTGTTTGGATGCATAAAATAGGAATTGGCGAATGATATGGATACCTTCATCGTAGGTAATGTGAACGGTGGGTTTGTCCCGTAGCGATTTACGATGCAGGTACTATGGATCATGCGCTATCAGCAAGACAATCCTTACCCTATCAGGGTATTCCACAACTTACGTGACTGATGAGAGTATGAAGGACAGTGGGAGTCAATGCCACACCTAGTGCGACTGTATGTAATGGCATAATTGTTCTGTTCGGTGGAAAGAGAGTAGCAGGATTCTAACTGTCGCAAAATCCAAGGAAACCAAAACTAGGAATCAGACTTAAATGAAAGACAAAAGCGAAGATCGGTCGCAAAATGGGCCGACGTCATTTAAAGAGTGCAAGGGGATTGGAAGAAGAAAAGAAGAACATCCAAACCCAAACGGGAGGCGATGATGTCACCGGGCCTCGGGGAAATCGATCTGCACCTGACCTCCGATCTCTTACCCCATACCTCCAGCCTTTACAAATTGGGTCTCCTCGGTCTTCCAATCCAACTGACAGTCACAATATAAATCATGGCGATGACACCAGCAACAATACTAGTTGCAATGACCGCCTCACGCGGTGCTTTCGCAAGCTTGAATCCAAGCCCAACATTGATGATACCCAGAATCATCATCAACCGTCCAAACCAGCGATGCGTATAGGCGAAAGGTCCTTTTCCACCTGTCTTCCGAAAGAATCGATGCTGCAATACACCCATAGCAGGCTGGAAAAGAATAAGGCTTGGTACGATGATCATCCCTAGGATGGTATGGTAAGAGTTGACCAAATCAATCTGCCGTGCCAGGGAAACACCAACTCCAAAGCCCGCGATTACCATGGTCAGAGTGAGGAGTTGGAACGTTCCGTGAATGTTCACTGTCCATTTCGATGGGAAGAGATGAAGTCCGAGCGCGAAGAAAGGGAACATGACCACAAAAGCCAGAACCATGAGCACAGCATGGGCTGTCTTTTTCCTCTTGACTGTTCGTTGCAAGGCTGCAAATACCGGATCTTCACTGGGAGAGATGGGCACTCGGGCTATTTGGGCGAAGGGATTCACTGAACTGCCGCCCGTCGCTTTTTTCAGGTCGACAGTCATGACACCGTAATCATCATGTTGGGTGATACCCTCAGATAAACTGACCGAATTCAGGGGCTCTCCATATTTAACGGACCAAATCCACGGACTTGAGGGGCTGTTCACGTTTTCTGTTCCCCCATTCCATTCCAGGCAGGTATCGCATCGAACATTGGCAGTGATAACTCCGTCGTGTACACCACTGCCATTCAGAATGGTGATCTGGGCGTCCTTGTTATACAACGGTTCAATTTCCCCAACACCCGACCGCGGAGAAACGGTGACCTTGTTGCCAGACGTGTACACGACAAACATATTGGCGCCTGCCATTTGCATTCCTTGGCCCAAGGCAAACCACTGCACTTGGCGAGTAGAATTCATTTGAAAGTATATGGGGCCCGAGCCTGACTCAGCAGTATTGTCGGGGACATTGAAGCTATAGGTGATCTCACTGTGGCCTTGCGGATGAATGCTATGAACCTGGGCCAGGGCAGGAATAGCCCAGAGCCAAGAGAAAATATGCCGAACCATTGAAAAAAATTGAGATTGACTTATGATCTAACAAGGGGGTCATCCCAATAAATACCCTCAGCTCTTTGTTGCACGGTTGACACACCAATTGGGCTGCGTCAGGCCAAGTCTTTGTGGCTGTGACTTTTGAATTTCTTACAGACATTTGGAATACCTGTCAATTGGTTGAAATATTATCTTACACGATGTCGTCGTTTTGTGTCTGAGCTACCTAAAGTCAAAGGTAAAACGACTTTGCTGCGCCTCCCCATGTCAAACATGATCAGTGTCGGGTCAGCCGCATCAATTATCAAGGCTACGGCAATTCTCAGTGAGGTCTTATTATTGGGGAAATATGAGTGGTCAACCGACATTGATGGCTAGAGAAATGTCCATAAAATTCCGGTGTGCCTATGCTTTTGGAGTATTCAACCGATGCAGTAATGGGGAAGTAGAGTTAGGCATAGCTTCAAGCTTATATCTGTGTTTATACGAGGTCAAGGGTGTCATACGAGGGGAAAAGAAGACAGTTTGTTATACAGCATCTCATTTACTGTCAAACAATCTGTCAAACTATCTGTCGGGATAAGGACGTCCTCTATTGCAATGCATAATTAAGTCCTGTTTGCTCTTGAATTTCCCTTCTCGAACGCCTAGCATGGGAATCTGGACGACGCTACAACTAAACCTACCGATGAATACGGCTTCACCCTTGTGTCTCCCAAGAAAAGGTCGAGGTTCATTTCGACCTGCAGAGTCATTCAGTGTCCGAAGCCTTTCTTTGTAACCTCTGCTATCCTATAGTAGAAAAGTGGGTTCGTCCCAGCCCTGTCTCTACTACTTCTTAGACTGATAACCTTACATAATAGGGAGACAATGCAGGAGAAGCCCGTAAGGTCCCTTTCCACGCGGTAACGGCACTCTCCACGGAGAATATTCCCACTTTTTTGGGAAGATAGACAAAATGAGCTCAAATGATTGCAGCGGATATTGTCGATCGCATTCTCGTCCCTTTCTTGGCAACGCAGAAGGTCCCCAGGAACGAAGTGTGGGATGCACTAACAAGTTGAACATAAAAGCTACAATCCATTCCAGATGCTGATGCTGAGCTCAATCACAGTCACCATGCTCGGCAAATCATATTTCGCAGTGGTTATGATGGCCGCTCAGGCTTTGCCTGTATTCGGAGCGACGAGGGAACGAGAAATGGTCAAAGTGACAGTCTCCGAGACGGTTCGAGGTGGTGAACTAGCTAACATTCATCTCGATTGGCTTGGCCAACCGCCCACTTTGATCAAATCTGTCTATGCGCCCTGTGACAATGAACATTCGTTGGCAAAAGAGCAAATTATCGGACAGTTTTCATTTCATGCTCATCCTCCACAGCGACTGGTTTGGGTGGTTCCAGATGAGGCTCCGACGCACCATTGTGTTTACATATATGGGTCTGGCGGCCCAAATATGACGCAAAGGGTCTTAGGCAAAAGCAGTCCTGTCTCCTTGCAGAAGAAGCTTAGGAAACGATCCACGGCAGACATCATCCCATTGCTGAAGGACTTTGATGCGCAGGGAGCATGGTTCGACGGAGTGGCCAAAATCAAAGACAAAGTGGAAAGCAGCGGAGGCGTTGCTTCAAAAGGTTCACCAAAGAATACCTCAATCGCAATTGTTGGAGGCGGGATCTCCGGACTTGCAACGGGTTTGATGCTGGACAGCGTCGGTATACATAACTGGGAGATCATCGAAGCCAGCGACCGCGTTGGGGGCAGATTCCGGACGAAATATGTCGCGGACACTCAAGAATGGGCTGAGATGGGACCGATGAGACTTCCGTACTCTGTCACTTACAGAGATGACAATGAGACACTCCTGTATTCTGATCATCAGTTGACTTTCCAAATGGCCAACATCTTGAACAACATGAACAAGAATGACTCGCAGTTGAGGATTGATTTCATCCCCTGGATCCAACACAGTCCCAATGAGTTATATGCTCAAGGTACTCGCCGTCATCCAGATGGAAGAATCCCAACTCGCGCTGAGATCGAGGAGGATCCAAGCCTGAAGGACCCCTCAGAAATGACGAGTGCCGAATACAGCAAGACCGAGGATCAGATGAACAAAATTCTGAAAGATGAAAAGACTCTCAAATCTCTTCAGAAGGATGTCTGGAGAGCCCACAAGACCGCCATGGACCAGGGTCTCGATGACTGGAGCGAACAGGCAATGATGCGACATGTCTTTAAAGCCAGTCAGAACATCACCGACGAGATCTGGACCTCCTCCGACTACGATGTGTTCTGGGACGAGCTGCATCATAACTCCAATCTCGGCCTAGATGGAAGCAAGGACAGTCTGGGCGAAACAAAATGGCTCTGCATCGATAGAGGATTCAACCGCCTGTCCGAAGCTTTTCTTCCTCACGTCCGCGACAGGCTTACTCTTAATCGAAAAGTCCGTAAACTCGAATCAGTCAAGGGGAGTGATAGTCACACCCGCACTCGACTGTCATGGTACCCCAATGTCTCGAATCGCACCTTTGAGTCCAAAGAGTACGACTACACAATCATGGCAGCGCCATTTACCATGACCCGCTTCATGGATCTACCCAAATTCTCCTCGGTCTTAGACCGCGCGATCAGCGAAGCAGGTCTACGCTTCAAGTCCGCCTGCAAAGTAGCCCTGTTATTCTCCGAGCGATTCTGGGAAAAGGGCGACCGACCGATTTTTGGCGGCTACTCCAAGCCATCAAGTGACTCAGTCGGTGCACTCTACTACCCAGTCTACGGACTCAACGAGTCCCGCCCGGGTCTGATCATGCACTATCGAGGCGGCGATTGGAGCGACCGGTTTGTGAGTTTCTCCGACGAAGAACACGTCCAGACAGTGCTGGATTCGATTGTCAGCCTGCACGGTGAACAAGCACGCGACCTTTACACGGGTGATTATGAGCGCCTCTGCTGGCTTCAGGATGAATATACTGCGACTTCTTGGTGTCGGCCGGATGTTGCACAACATCAACTATACATTCCGGCTTATCATCAGACGGAGCACAACACCATTTTCATTGGAGAGCACACTGCGCCAACGCAGGCTTGGGTTAGTTCTTCGCTGCATTCTTCCGTTCGTGGGTCGGTTCAGCTGCTGCTGGAGTTGGGTTTGGTGGATGAGGCGAAAGAACTTAACCAGCGGTGGATGGGGAGATGGATCAAGCTATGATGTTTCTGTCAAGCTCCTTGGTTTAGAATATATCGTAGCTTACTCTAATTAAACCATTTTCGGTATTTTTTAAAAAGATTTATGATAGTATAGTATTAAAACCATTATCGATGGGGGACAGTGCCGGTAAAAGCTACGAATTTACTGAATACACTCATAGTTGAAAGCGCTTGAAAATTAAATTGCTTAGAAAACACTAGTACATGACGGGCATAAGAGGGTTGCAATGTAAAGACAGTCGAATAGACATTCGTGGCTCCTTGTTGCGTATTGAGATGTGGGCACCTTTTGTGCGGGATGTGTGAGCAATGAACAATCACTCAATGGTAATCTTCTTGGTGGTCGAGGTAGTGGCCTTGGGCACAATGATCGACAGAATGCCATTGGTGAGGCTGGCCTTGACCTTGTCCTGGTCGACACTAACGGGGAAGGAGAAGGTACGTTGGAATTCTCCGACCGAGCGCTCGCTGGCCCAGTAGCGGTAGGTGGGCTCAGATTTCTGTTCAGACTTCTGCTCAGACTTCTGCTCAACCTCATCGCCCTGCGCTTCAGTCTCGGGCACAGAGGTGTGGTACTCGCGTTCCGCGCGACCCTTCACATTCAGGGTCTGGGGGTCGGAGAACTCGATGTCGATATCCTTTTGAGAGAGACCAGGTAGCTCGCCGTCGAGGTGGTAAGAGTCATCGCTTTCGCGGACGTCAAAGCGAGGGGAGAACGAGCGAGCTGCAGGCTGGCTACGACCGGAGCGGTGGACATCATAGTCGTCAAGGAGGCGAAAGAGGGGAGCGAAGTCACTGGAACCGGGAAGGCTGGCACGCAAGAGAGACATTTTGTTGAATAGATCAGATATGCTTGGAGAGCAGGAAGTAGTGATAGCTTGGCTTGTGAGGATGTGTTGATGATGAGGGAAACGGTGGGTAGTTGAAGGGCATTATATAGCCAGAGGACCTATCTTCTCGAAACTACCCTCCATATTTCAGGCAAGTTCTGGAATACACCACAATTGCATCATGAGATAAACAGCTCGGCTTGTTGTTTCCAGCTGTCGGGTTGTTACTTCTACAAGATACTAGATGCTTCTCCACATTTCCACCACGTGACACGACGCCATAGGGCTATTTTTAGTTCAAGAAGCAAGAACAGAAACAAATAAAAGAAGAATATATACTTAGGGCTTATGTGAAGGCCAATCAGAACAGTTGTCAAACAAGTATAATGCTGCTTATATCCGATGCCCTATGTCTATATACAGTTAAGGCATTAAAACATTCAAATGCCAGAGATCCATTGCCAAGAGGGGTTGGAGAACAAGTCTTATAAAGAGACCGAATAATAGAATAATAGTATATAAGAAAAAGAAGAGCGATGTAGACTCCTAATGCACAGAAAGGGTCTCTAGCCATCCGCCTAGCCGTAGAGCAGTAAGCTGACCTAAATTTGTCGATCCATCTGCTCGCACACCTAGTTCCTCCACATCCCGGAGGACCTTCTCAATGTAATCTCCTGCGGCACTTAATTTGATTATGGTAGCGATCACGCGATGGACTGCGAGTAGACGGGACGAGAGAGAATCAATAGTTGGGCTCAATGTCAGTGTACGAGTGATAGGAAACAAAGGATCCCTAACATCTCAATTTGCTCTAACGAGTCAATCCTATACTGGTGCGGGATACCGGTAGATTCGAAACATATTTGGAACGTGCTGAAGAATCGGTGGTAAGAGAAAGCCAAGGTAAGGGCGTTCAAAGGGCTATCGATTTTCGGGCCGTCTATAAGATGACTGATACCAGGATCAAACATATCTAAGATTCGGAGAGCAATTTTCTTTGAATCACTCTAAGTACTATGTTAGAATGATCAATATAGTATCCCTATAAATAGACATACCAATTCTGTTTCTCCGGAAGCTAACGTTATTAGGCTGTGGGGTAGAATATAGGCAACCTTTAAGAAATCGAATTGTCCTCGGGGCTCATCGTTCAGGGGGTTTCTATCGTCGTCTAAACATTGTTCCCCGTCTTTTTTGAAACGATCTTTGAGTGTTACTCTGTCAAATTTCCGAGAAATCACACATCGGTGGCCGTCACGAGTAAGGCATTTCTGTCGGAGTATGATTCTGTAGCGACGATAACGAGGTAGGTGTTGACTGTGGTGTCTTTGTCGATATTGCTCTGACTAGAATAATAGATTAGCATATGCCTTCTTAAGAGATAAAAGCGGGTAAGTGACACACGAGGAAGCAGGAAGTTATCCACGATGAACTCTGCAAAAGCCTCAATCGCTTTCTTAAGGTCATTGATTTGTTCAGGGCCCCACTTGGCCCAATTGTCAAAGAAGGATAAGGTGCGAGTCATTTCGAAATCTACTACAAGCTCCTCTGTTGAGCACAAATATTCGTAGATGTATGATAGGAAGAAATTCAAAAAAGTATCTGGGAACGCAGTGTCTGGGGCCTCAAAGTGCTCAAGAATGGCATAGATAAGGGCAGCGGGCTTGTATCCTTTCTGCACGGTCTGCTCGGGGCCATAATATTGCACAAGCTGAATCACGAGGTCTCTTGCCGACTCACGCTGTTGTGATGTCAGTGAAAAAGGTATCAAAAAGTCTAGAACCCCTTCCAAAGAAGACTGATGACGGTTTCCGGCCATCTTGGCGTGTTCCTGGTCTTAGGATGAGTTGAAGCTTAACCTTAGGAGGACCTGATATAACTCAATCACGTGTACAACATATGTCTTATCGCAAGATAAGATCCACACACTCCACGTCAACAACAATTCTGTCAATGTAGATCCTGTTGATCTTTTCATGCTAGTATTCTTCTTATTTTATAACAACCGAGTACATACGGAGTACCGTATTCTTTCTTTTCTAATTACAGGACCCACTCCCTCTCTCTATCCATCTCCCCTTCTTGATTGTTATCATTAGTTGATCATGTCCTGGGATATTGCAACAGCTAGTGATGAATGGCTCATCGATCTTTGCCACAAGGCAAATGAGGAGGGGGGTCATATCGGGGGACCGACGGGTGGGGATCAAGCCGTCAAGCTTTCTGACCACATTGCGGCCAAGTTTGGCTTAGGTGTCTGCGCCCCTGAAGCAGCCATGCAGGAGTTTGCCTATAACAATGTCGATCGCAATATCGTCCGCGTTCCAAAAGTCTACCGCTATTTGGAATCTAAGCAACGAGATCCTCATGGATACCTTTTCATGGAGTATATACCAGGACAAAACTTACTAGACGTTGACCTCGAAGAAAGGAAGGACATTTTACCCCGGATCGCAAACATCATTATGCACCTGGGACAAATCAAAGGTTTGACTCCTGGCCCGATTACCGGCGCGCAACCGGTTGGTTATATATATGGGGATTACGGCGCTAGAACGACCTTTAAGTCTATGGAAGACATGAATGTGTATATGAATAGTCGTCTGCAGCCTCTAAATTCGAGCACACCCTCTTGTGCTCTGTCATGGCGACATCTGCCGAAGAAATATCATTCTTGATAAGGACGGATCTATTTGCTTTCTCGACTGGGCATATTCTGGATTCTATCCCCGGTTTTTCGAAGTGGCCACGATCATATGTGCATGGTATGATTCCTTCCAAGAGCCTCTCGTGCAGGAAGTTGAGAGTGCAATGAACTTGACGGACGAGGAGCGACGGGACATGCAGTTTCTTCTTCGTGTACGCCATGCAAATTTAAGATGGACATTGTATGCACTTCCCCTTTTGCTGTGATTGAACAAATAAGCTAATTATACTAGCATGAAGAGACAAACGCCCGAGGAGCTGGAAGCACAGAAAGCATCATTACTTGGGTCTGTTTATGGCAAGGACTGGAAGGCCATCAGCGAGGCGAAGTCCAAGGAATATATGGCTAGGAATACTACTCCGCAGATCGGTATCCCTCGACTGGAAGAGAAGGAGCATTCTATGCAGTCTGATGCCAGAAATGGGGAGGATATACTCGATGCTTCTCCTATCGGCGTCCATCAGCCCGAAGGGAATGGGCACACTACGCAGCCTGATGCAGAGACGGCGGAGGACATACTCGGCCCTGAAATTGAAGGGAATGAGAATACTATCTAGTCTCATACGAGAGAGATGGCTGGATAGGTCTTGTTTATCCTCGTTTCTTCTGTAATCGCCACTCATTTATTTCTATCCACCTAAGAGAAAACAGGTCACCTTGACCTGAGAATGGAGGTTCTCACTATAATTCAGCTCTTTATTCCAAGGTTTGGAAAGGCGGTTGAGAGAAAGGTGACATAATTTCTCAAGTTCTGCCAGGTTCTCCCACTGCTCAACTTTTTTTTTTCTTGGCCTCCTACTCGACAACCCATTCGACCTTCAAATCGACAATACATTCCTCTCAAAGGGGAGTGCGACATGCCGACCACTCGTAAGCGCAAGAAGATCGCTAACGAGCCTGACCTATCGCCCCCAGCTTTTGTTAATCACTCTCGGACACTAGCCCACCTGTTAGTGTTGACTCGACTATACCAAACTCTCCACCGTCAATGAGCCTTAAATAGATTTCTTCTCGCGGACTCTCTTCATTCCCTCTTCGGAAAGTTTCTCGCTTTTAAGCCAATCGCGAGTGACAAATGCACGATGATTGATAGATCCAGCTAATATAAGTTCTGTGTTAAGCTGGATGACCCTCGTTTCATTCATACTACTTAGGCTCTGGTTAATAAAGTAAGGCTCAGCGCCTCCGTCCGTCTTAAAGAGAGACTATCTTTCTCTTTTTGCTTTCAACCGGTTTAGAATGCTATCATTTTTTGCTTCTGATTCTCTCGGAATTTGATCACCTCTAAATGAATCAGATTATACTACCTCTTCTCCTAAAGTCACCCTGCTCCTTCCTTATTTCACTAGGTAGGAGATGTCACCTTGGCACCTTCCTCATCTGACATCTCTGACCTCTCTTTCCATTCTTTTATCCCCATCCTCTCTCTTCATTCTTCTTCTCTCCATCTTTTCTTTCACTGTTCTCGCTCTCTGGCACGTCACCTTGGAACCTTCCAAGGTTCATCCGATTCATAAGGTAAGGATGACTCATTACTCCAAACCTTATCTAACACTTACTAAGACTATACCTATAACTATCAAGCACTTTCTGTTCATGTCGATACCATTTTGGAAACACCCATGGCGGTGAAAAAAAGCCGAGAGCCTTTCTCCACATCCACTTTGCATGGGCCTCTTAACATCTTCGAGAGTGCAGATATGCTTCTCTTCGGGTTTTTGATATCCGTGATCACGACCACCATGTCGCAGCATTCAGATATGTCCGATGACTCGGACTCCCCCGACGTCAAGTGCTTCCAAGAACTACTGATGACACATACCAAGCCATCGGATTGGAGGCCAGAGCTATCCGAAAGATCATAAGAGAGCAGCAGAACCTTCCCATCAACGTGATGATGTTTCACAAACGTCCCACCAACTATTGCGGAAAAGTTTTCTGGGAGCTCCACTCGACATATGTTCAATCACGACACCCGATCTATACTTATCAAGCTCGTGACCGGGGCCCATGACACAGCTTCACGCAGCTTTGTGAAGTGCACGATGTGGTACGCGATATGGGACTGACACGATCGATTCACGCGGTAGGGTCTAAACGCATCCGAGCTGTGTCTTCTTCAAAGGAAGCTGATGGCTCGTGGGTCCCTACGCAACCTATTCCAGGTCGCAGTACAACATGGCCGACCGTTGTGGTCGAAGTGGGAGTATCAGAGTCATATCGAAAGCTGCGGGCAGATGCAGAATGGTGGCTCACGAACTCGAAGGGCGATGTGAAGCTTGTAATCATCGTGTCTATCAATCGAAAGACACCGAAGATCAAGTATGAGACTGTTCTTTTAGATATCAGCTCCTTATGACCCGCTACGTCCCAACTATCCGGCAGTCCATTACGACATCCCGCGGCGCACAGATTGCCACCAGCCCAGCAGTACCCTTGACAATCAGGTTTGAGGAATTGATTTGTCGTCAACCAGTCCCGCCTGAACACGACATTGAACTATCAGGTGCGCAGTCTGGGCGGAGCAAGGTCTATGAGTTATTCTTACCTCTGTTATCTCTTAGCTTTTTCAAACAATGGTGCAATACATAATATTTGTCTATATCATGGTGAATTCACGGTACAGCGTTTGGGAGTTTTGCACGGATGATTGGGTTACTCCGAGAAGCAGATGCTCAAAAGAGACGGCTATCACGCAGTTCAACAATTTTCTACGAATTCGAGCTTTTCCGAGCGTCTGATGTTCATAACATCAAAGGCAAGGGGCTCGATGAATACTTCTACGGAGTCATCGATGCTAAGTTGATACTTCGAGATCGAGAAGGATATCTTCTATTGTCGATCGCCAATCTTCCTAATCCAGCGATTGTACAAGCACGCCGGGCAATCAGTATGCAATGTGGAGAAAAGACATTTTGCTATTGCCAGGGACAATAACGAACTCACAGGTCCTCATTCTAGTTGTAAAACAATAGATCGCCAGACTTTAGAGTGGTTCACGGACTTGAAGCTATTTTTAACGTATAAATCTCTATATTCGCCTAATTCCAGGTAGTCAAAATGTATTTCGGCCACTATAAATATATCGGCGCGGTACAATCAGGCTATAGTTAGAGGCTTAGAATGACGGGCTAGGGCTACTTAACTTTTGCTGGAGTATGCGGAGCAACTCGAACGTGCGTTCGTACAACAGCAGTTTTGGACATTAAAGACGGACGAAATAGTCAGGATGTCTGTTGCTTTCCAACTTACTTCAATTTTCAACATATTTTGTTAAGATTGCTAGCATTTTGGAGAAACTCCTCTCTTGCGCTGTGATTGGTGACTTCCTAATATTTCTAGGCGCCTGATATTTCAGGCTCCATTCTAACCCGGTCAAGTCTGGCAGAATCTCGGCTTGGCCAATTTCGTCCCTCTTAAGATCAATTATCAGTTCACTCTGCACTTTTGTCTGACTGGCTCGGGTTGAACGAGATAAATCTGACACTAAAAGACTGTCTCGTCGACTATAAATCATCGGTCCATTGGCTCATAGACTCCCTCGGCGGTGAACGCCGAAGTGCAGTGCCTACCAATCCCTGCCGTCCACGTTTGGGCTCGATTAGGCAAGAAATACACATATTGCTCCTTCCATAACTCTCCGTACACCCGAGTCACCACAAATTTGGTAAACAACACGTCAATCCCTCTTTTATCTATCATGGCTTCACCCACAGCAGCCGTTGACAAGTTATTTGTCTGTCCTGGATGTCAGAGAGGTGGCTTCAAAAGCATTGGTGCTGTCAAGGCTCATTTTGAGTCTAAAGGCCACAAACTCGCTTGCAGTCCATGCGACAGATCTTTTGGGAATGTAACGGCGTTGCTCAAGCACTCCCAGAAGCATGAAAAGCCCCTAGATGGTTCCGTTCTCAAGTCGGTCAAGTCGGCCAAACCAGCACCAAAGAGCACGAAGCAACAGAGGTTCCCGGATCTGTCTGAGTCTTTTGTTAAAGCTGCAAACCCAGCGCCCAAGATCACGAAGCCTGAAAGGTCACAGGATCCTTCTGAGCCCTTGTCTGTCAACCCTGCGAAATCTATTGCAAAGAAAACAAAGCCTGAGAAGTCACAGGAATTGCTTGCTTCTTTGGCTGTCAAACCTGCGAAACCCACTCCCAAAAAAATTAAGCTTGAGAAGTCCCTAGATCGGTCTGAAATAATTCCCGCCAAGCCTGCGAAACCAGCTCAAAAGCGCACATCAAACCAGGCATCAGTAGGTGCTCCATTAAGGACAGACGATTTTGAAGACCTATGGACCAAGACTTCTGAACCCCTGAACATCTCATCGCCTGCCATCCAAAATGCCAATTACCATGTTATGCTCGAGCCGCTCGAACAAAATTTGATCTTTCGCTACTTGTCGGCACGATGTCACTCGGACACCCGTCTGGTCACACGAGGCTTTACCTTTCGGGATAGCTTGGCAGATGTCAGCAGGCGCCCGTCGAAGAAACCCTCTCCAAAGACAGGACATTTCCGCCAAGTTCCTCGCTCCTCCGACAACTTGCCGAGAAGGAGAGCAATCGTTCTTGACTGCGAGATGGTGCAAGTCGAAGCAGGGCGTCGGGAGCTTGCTTTTTTAAGCGCGATTGACTTTTTGACTGGCGAGGTTCTCATCGACAACTATGTACAGCCGAAATCGAGAGTGGTGAATTGGGATTCTCGGTTCAGTGGGGTGACTCCTAGTGCCATGAACAAAGCTGTCAGGAAGGGGACAGCGTTGTTTGGCTGGGAAGAAGCGCGCTCGAAATTATGGGAGTTCATGGACAGCGAGACTATCCTCATTGGTCATTCTCTCAACAATGATCTTGACGTCTTGGGTATCATTCACTGGAACATTGTCGACTCCTCTATCATTACCAGCGAAGCGGTGTTTTACACTGTACACGCCGGTGAACCACTCAACCGCACATGGAGTCTGAAGACTCTGACCAATGAATTGGTCAATTATGATATCCAAGTCGGGAAACAGGGCCACAGTGCGCTAGAGGATGCACATGCAACACGGGATATTGTGATCTGGTGTCTGAGATACCCAGAGCACCTGAAGGTATGGGCGGACAATGCCCGGGATCAAGAGGAGCAGCGCATTTACGAGAGGGAATTGAAGAGGACGACCGAGGAGCAGGTAAGGGAGCAAAGAAGACAACATGATATGGAGATAAAGATGCAACTGTTATCTCAAGGCGTTAGTGGTTTGGGTCTTCATGGCATTGGCCTCTCTGATGATGATGCCAATGACCCTGATTCTTCTTTTGTCGACCGTGATGGTGACGTTGAATACGAATCGGTAACTATTGAAGCGGCTGCTGTTTCATTCTTTTGATACTACCATGTCTATAAGTATCTGTTAATTATGATGTTATATGATAATTCAATTACAAGTATTCAGCCGTGCAATCATTGCGCTAATCGCCCTTGCTCTCCTTCTCTTATAATATTCGACAAGGGATATGCCTTCGCGATGCAAAATTACAGGAGCGAATTCTATCCACAAAGTCGATGCCACTCAAATTCAAAGAGCCATGGCCCCAACCAACCGCAACCTCACAGCCTGGATGCACTGTTATACACAGTGACCTCTGCAGTCATCGACACCGTTCGTGTCTCCCCAGCAATACTAAGAGAGGTCTGCCATATGATCGAATGACTCAACCTGGTATTGAAAGTGACAAAACTAGGCTGGATGCTAGCCACAAGACTGAGACGCTTCCCATCACTCATCAGACCATCGTGTCCAAGAACAAGCCGAAGCACCCTCCCAATATCGACGGGAGTATCACTCGGCCCAGCAAAAGTTACAATAGGATCCTTGAGCTGCTCAAACGCTTTCTCCAGCCCCAAATGCTGAACAAAGACATGTTCATCATTAGGAATGGTATAAAGGCTCTCCTCGCTCGGTTTGAGAACAATCTCCACTTTCGAAAGAATACTCATCTTAACCGCCGTAACCTCGACCCGTTGCACAACATCCCAAATAGCACTACTACTCCCGTCCCGCCGCGGAATAACCCTGATAAGAAGCGGAATCGGCGACGAGTTATCGAGCTGAATCGCAACCGGCACACCCATCACAACCTCAAAGCTGAATCCAGGAACAGAAGACAACCCAAGAATCTTCTGCGTCTTCTGCGTCAAGGATAACCCCACGTCCCGCATCGACGGCAGCAGTCGCTGGCTGCGCACCCGGCTCACGATACTGCACCGCTGCAGCGCAAACCGGATCCCGCCCGCGTCGACGTTCGGATGGGCCAGCGTGACGGGCGCTGTCGCGCGCTGCACCCGCCACGACCCATTGCGCATATACCGCAGCTGCGCCTGGAGATAGTACTCGATGCAGACCTTCGCCCCGCTCCATTCGGTGTAAAAAGTTCCCGGTAACGGGTGTTGCGTGATGCAGCTTGCTTCTAGGGGGACGAAGCTCTCTTCTTGTGTGTGGTCGCGCACTGCTGAGAGCGAAGCTGCTTCGGGGATATTAATTGAGAAGGGGATATTGATCCAGTCGGTTGGGGTGCTGGGGGAGGGTATGTGGATAGGTCCACGTAACAGGGTCTGTGGGGGCAGGTGGAAAAGCTTCCAGTTGCCGTGGCTTGTGGTTTTTGTTGGGTAGCCTTCTGTTATTAAGCGGGCTTTTGTACGTCCGATCAATGTAAGTGCGATCTTGGCATCTGGGGCCACGAGGTGCGAGTGGCGGTTCACGCTGCCGATTATTGTATCCCCTGCGGCGTATGTCCATATTGGAGGCGCCGCGATGGATATATTGAGGTTAGGACCTCCGGTTGCCTGGGTGGGATGCATGGCTTCATGGTGGAGGAGGGGGAAATTCTTTGAAAGAATTTCGGTCAAGCCACTAGTTTCTTACATAACTCAGGCAGGGGGCTAGGCTATTAGCCAAATAAGGCCGTTAGCTGTCACAAATAAGAAATTGCCAATTGTGGAGATGAGCTCTGCAAGGATAGTATGGGGTAGACGGGTCATGCAAAGGCAAGCGGGGATGAGGGAAACTCCCATAGTTCACATTCCGATACAGTTGTTGTAGGGAGGGAATAGATCCTATGCAATGAATGATATCTCTCTTGCTATGTGGTTTTTGCCTGTTGACCTCGACCTCGACTTTGTTTGTGCACTTCCAAGGTTGCCAGCCAGGCCCACTTTTAGTCGTAACTCCATATGAACTAACAACCAACTAACAACCAACTTGGTTAACTAGTTAGTTAGGTCAGATTAATGAACTACAAATTCCGAGGCATAAGTCGAGTTTTCTTGTAACACCTACAAATGTTGGGAGACAGAGATAATCGTTCGAAGTGATGCTCCAATTCT